ATCGCGGCTTCATTTAAATTTACATGGCTGCCGCTCTGAGCCGACAAACAGCTGATCAGCTGTTTGCTGGCTCAGCGCGCTAGTCTAGATGCTACGTGCTGACCTGAAAGCCTTTTATCGACATCCCCCTTATGCCTCGTAGGATGAGGTTTACAGGGGATGTCAATAAAAGGCTTTCATGTCGGCAGGGGAACGTCCAGACTAGTGCACTGAGCCGACAAACAGCTGATCAGCTGTTTGTCGGCTCAGCGCGGCAGCCATGTAAATTTAAATGAAGCCGCGATTATTTAAATCACGGCTTCATTTCCCTTTGCTAAAAAAACAAATCTACATGGCTCCGTTGACGGAGCCATGTAGTTTAGATGTATCCTATGAGTCTATTGCCCAAGCATGGCAGCTGCTCAGTGGGAAACACCAGCTCCCACCCTATCAGCTGTTTGTCGGCTCAGCGCGGCAGCCATGTAAATTTAAATGAAGCCGCGATTATTTAAATCACGGCTTCATTTCCCTTTGCTAAAAAAACAAATCTACATGGCTCCGTTGACGGAGCCATGTAGTTTAGATGTATCCTATGAGTCTATTGCCCAAGCATGGCAGCTGCTCAGTGGGAAACACCAGCTCCCACCCTGTGGGGAGGCAACTCACATGGGCCATGAGACTGTTCTGATACCAGATCTGCTGCTGCAGACCCCTGGCTTCAGTTTCTGCAGCTGCCTCTTTCTTTCCAGCCCATGCCCAGTCCCTGGTTATCAGAGCCATGGGCCTCTGGGGCTGGACGTGTCTCTCCTCAGCCCAGCCATGCTAGCAGAAACATTTTCCAAAGGAACTAGGCCTCCAAATCCAGCAGCTGCTGTCTTCCATCCACCAGTCGGCCCCTGCCTCAGCCCCTGGGCCAGCTTGGCATGTGGCTACAGCCTGCACACACCCTGCCTCCCCAGAGTGTCTGTCACGTACCCGCCATGGTGCTCGAGTGGCAGGGACAGTAGCTGTACAAATGTTACTTTCACCACTGGGTTGGACTAATGTGTTAAATGGATCCTCTCGGATGAGAGGGGGGAGAGGGTAGGGCTGAGACCACAGTGCAAATTCCACCCTGGCTCTCCCATGCTTCAGTGGCAGGGTTTGCCCCTGTAAGATGCTTGGGACCCCAGCTGCTGCCCCTCTTCACATATACCACTGGGGCACCCACTAACACCTGCCTCCCATTTCCATGGAGACCCTGCTGTGGTGTCTCAGGGTGACATGGGGCAGCCTTGCATGGCTGTCAGGCCCCCTTGTGACCACTGGAAGCCAGAGCCAGGAAGAGAACCCAGGCATCCTGGCTCCCACTGTTCTAACCCATGCAGTCCTGAAGTTCTGCTCCAGTTTGGAGCCCTTTTCAGCAGTTTCCTCTCCAGGGAGGCCCTCACACCCGTAATTCTGTCCCCACTTCAGCTCCTACCACGTCTCAATGCAGGGCGTTTGCACTGGCCCGCATTGCCATTGGGTGGCTCATCTCTGGCACCAGCCCAGTCTCCCCCAGGCTGGCGTCAGGGCCTGGTATGGTGCTGGGCCCCGCCACAGAAGGGGTAAGTCAGCCTCAGTGAAATACCCCCGGACCCTCAGGCTGCAGAGTGCGAGTGGTCGGCGAGGCAGGCGAGAGCAGTCTGTCCCTCCCAGATCTCACACCGGCTCTGTTCCTGGCTTGTTAAGCCCGGGGGCTGCAGCAGACTCACTGGCCTCCATTCCTGGTGACTCGATCGCTTCAAAACCAGCAGCAGCCCTTCGGATGTTAGCCCAGCTGGCTAGTTCTCCAGGGCAGGCCATGCTGCACCTCAGCGGCTGCCAACACCCAGGTGGGAAAGGGAGGTGTGCCTGCATCTCCACTGTAAGGCTGTGTCTACATTGGCATGATTTTGTGCAAAAGCCTCTGCTTTTGTGCAAAAACATGCTACCTGTCTACACTGGCGGGGAGTTCTTGCGCAAGAACACTGACGTTCTAATGTGTGAAATCAGTGCTTCTTGCGCAAGAACTATGATGCTCCCGCTCAGGAAAGAGCCCTCTTGTGAGACTGTTCTCGCGCAAGAGGCCAGTGTAGACAGGCAACATAAATTTCTTGTGCAAGAAAGCCTGATGGTTAAAATGGCCATTGGAGCTTTCTTGCGCAAGAGAGCGTCTACACTGGCACGGATGCTTTTGCACGAAAGCACATCTCTTGCGCAAAGGCACATGCCAGTGTAGGTGCTCTCTTGCGCAAATACTTTAACGCAAAAACTCTTGCGTTAAAAGTATTTGCACAAAATCTTGCCAATGTAGACGTAGCCTAACAGGCTGCAGGGGATGGGGAGAGTGACAGGCAGGGAGACACGTGGACAAACGGGGCTGTGCAGGCACAAATGGTTCTGTGGGGATGGATGCATAGACAGGTGCTTTGGGGCTGAGAAGAGGAACAGGTGGGCAACAGTCAAACACATGGGCACAGGGAGATGGATGGATCGACAGATGGGCAGGTGAAGATGGGGTGGGACAGACAGGTATGTGGGGATGGATGGACAGGTGTGTTGCCCCATCAAGGGGAGCAAAGGGCAGCGCAGGGGTTTGGGGAGGGACTCGGACCCCCCCCTCAAACACAGCCAGAGGCATGGTCACATAGCCAAGGAATGGTGCCTTTATTCCGCGCAGTTTAAACAAGAAGTGATGCGAACTGGCGACAATCCGGAGTGACTCCTGGCGCGCTCCCACCCGCCCAGCCCTTCCCTACCCCCCAAGCCAGACCACAGCGAGGTAGAACTGCCCCCCTACCCCGCTTTGGGATGGGGGCAACCTTCCCAAACCGGGGAGGGGCCTCCCCCCAGTGGGGGGGCCGGCAGGAGGCACCCCATACAGTATGTGTATATATATATATATATATTCATATTTATAGAGTAGCCGGCAGGACGGGGGTCCGGGGGCCCAACTACGAGGGCAGGACCCCCCCATCGCTCACCAAGGCTACATGCTCACCCCCATGGAGGTGGGGGGCGGTAGGGTCCCATCTGGGTAGAGTGTGGGGGGGGAGCAGATGTGGTGCCCTTCCCGCCTGAGGAAGGAGAGGGGGAGAGGGGCTGCCCCTGCCCGCAGGAGGGGAGAGGTCTCTCAGTCGTCGATACAGATCACCTCGCCGGCTCGGGGCTCCTTCTTCTCCAGGGGGTCACTGTCCCGCTCCCTCTTCACCAGCACCGGGGGGCCATTGGTGGCAGCTGTGGGGATAAGAGGAGAAAGGGTGAAAACAGATAAATCCCCTAACCCCCCCCTCTCTTCCTAGAGCTGGGGAAGAAAACCCAGGACTCCTGGCTCCCAGCCCCACCTGCTCTAACCACCAGGCCCCTCCCTGCTCCCAGAGTCAGCAACAGAACCCAGGACTCCTGGCTCCCGGCACCCGCACCCCCAGGACCCGCAGGGGCTGACCTGTGATGAAGGACCCAGCAGGCATCTGGCTGTAATTGGCGCCCCCCGTGGGCAATGCTCCAGCACTGAAGGAGCCCCCAAAGCTCGGGGGGGTGGCATAGGGGCCTGGCGGGAAGGCCTGGAAGAGAAAATAGGGGACAGTAAGCTGCCCAAGCCTACAGGATGGGAGTGGACTAGGGGTGTGGCTGGGGCACCCTGCACTGTGGCTATTCCTTGTCCTTCAGAGTGAACCCCCCTGGTGCTACAGGAACCACAGGAGCTATGGTGAATCTCCCAGGAATTACAGGATCACAGGGTGAAGTCCCCCAGGTGTTACAAAACCTGAAGGAGCAAAACAACCCTCCCAAGTATTATGGGGTGGGGCAAGACAACCTCTCCAAATGTTATGAGGGCCTGTGGTATGGGACCCGTGGGGGCAGGATGAACTGCCACCCAGGTGTTACAGGGCCGCAGGGAAGGGGCAAACCTCCCCCAGGAGTTATGGGGCCCACAAGGGCAGGACAAACCCCCACTAGTTGTTACGGGGCCTGCTGGACAAGATGAACCCGTCCAGCCAGGTGTTACAGGGCCCATGGGGGCAGGACAAACCCTCACCCAGGTGTTATGGGGCTGCGGGTGCAGGATGAAACCCTTCCAGGCGCTATGGAGCCAGGATGAACCCTCCCACCCCCAGGCACTATGGGGCCTATGGGAACAGGGCCAAGTCCACAGACTTTACCGGGATGGTCTGCGTCTCGTTGCCCTTGTTGGCCAGGCGGCTAAGAATGCTGCGCTCGGACATCTGGAGGCGGGCGGCAATGGGAGGGATCCGGGACAGAGTGGCCGGAAGGCGCGTCACGTCGGCTTTCATGTCGCTCAGCAGCTCTTCCAGCTGGTTGAGCACTGGGGCGCGGAAAGACAGAGAGAAGGGGAGACGTGTCAGGTGGGGTGCGAGGGCCAGGGCACGGTCAGCTACCCAGTGGCAACCCCCACCTCATCAGGGCTGAGCCAGCCGGGACACCATAGGCAGAGCAGGGCCCATTCTTGTCTCCCCCACCCTCCATGTGGGATTGTTCAGACGAGGACACCATCCAGGAGACCATCAAGGGTGAGGGACATAACTTCAGAGATACTTGGGAAATACTCAGGGGGATGAATGCTCCAGAGATACTCAAGGGATACTCAGAAGGATGAATGCCCCAGAGATACTCAGGGGATGAATACTCCGGGGATACTCAAGGGCTATTCAGGAGGATGAATATTCCAGAGATACTCAGGGGATACTCATTGGGATGAATTCTCCAGAGACACTCAGAGAATGCTCGGTGGGATGAAGCCTCCAGAAACACTCAGGATACTCAGTGAGATGAATCCTTCAGAGATACTTGGGGGATGAATACACCAGAAATACACAAGTGGTAGTATTCAGTGGGATGAATACACCAGAGATACTCAAGTGATACTCAGGAGGATGAATATGCTGGAGATACTTGAGTGATACTCAAGAGGAGAAATACACAGAGATACTCAATTGATACTCAGGGGGATGAATACACCAGAAATATTTAAGTGATAGGGAGAAATACACTGGAGATACTCAGTGGGGATGGATGTACCACTGATACTCAAAGAGGATGAATACACCAGAGATACTCACATGATACTTGGGACAGGAATACACCAGAGATACCCGTCAGGTGGGGGGGAGTGATGGTGGAGTAATGCACCGGAGATACGCAGGAGGTGAAGTACACCAGAGACATTCACATGATACTCAGGGTTAGGGAGGGAGGTGAAATATACTAGAGATACTCACATAATTCTCGGGGGAGAAATACACCAGAGATACTCACATGATACTCAAGGAGAAATACACAAGTGATACCCAAGAGATACTCAAAGGATACTTGAGAGATACACCAGCGATACTCAGCAGATACTCAGGGCATACACCGGCAATACTCAGCAGATACTCAGAGCATACATCAGCGATACTCAGCAGACATTCAGGGCATACACCAGTGAGACTCAGCAGATATGCAGGACATACACCAGCAATGCTCAAGAGCATACATCAGCGATACTCAGCAGATACTTTGGGGATAATCATTAAATACACTAGAGATACTCAGGCATACTCATTAGATATTTGGAGGATATACCAAAGATACTTAGCTGATACTCAGTGGATACACCAGAAATGCTTAGCTAATGCTTGGGAGATACTTAGCAGATGCTTGGGAGATACTCAGCAGATACACAAGAGATACTCAGCAGATACTCAGAGGATACACCAGAGATAATCAGAGGATACACCAGAGATACACAGAGCAGGATTAAGGAGACAACCGAACACAGCGGCATTTCTGATCACAACCCCACTTTAATGATTCAGAGAGCACGGTACAGAGGATGCGTTGGACGTTACAGACACCGTCCTCTCCGCGCCCGCCTGCCCGCCCTCCTCTTACCCTTGTGAAGGACGGCGTTGGCAGGCTTGTTGCCAGCCAGGGACTCCTTGGACAAGTGCTGGTGGCTCTCAGCCAGACACTCGACCTCGGCAAAGCGTGTGTTGAGCGCCATGGCCGGGTGGCTGGGGTCCTGAGTCATGTTCAGGTAAGCGGCTCGGCGCAGCTGCTCCTCGATCACCAGGGCTTGCTCCAGGAGCTGTAGGGAATGAGGGGAGGAGAGCCAGCTAAGCTGCCTTCAACCCACAATGGCAATCATCAGCCTCCCCCGCTCTAACCACTAGGCTCCACTCCTGTACCAGGGTCAGAAAAATCCCAGGAGTCCTGGCTCCTAGCCCCCTTCTATAATCCAACAGCACCACTGCTCTCCTAAAGATGGGGATAGGACCCAAGAGTTTTGACTCCTAGCCCATTTCCCTCCCAGGGCCAGGAAGAGAACCCAGGAGTCCTGACTCCCAGCCTCCCTGTTCTAACCCATCAGCCACCTTTACCCTCCCAGAGCTGGGGAAGAGAACCTGGGGTCCTAAGTTAGGACTATCCTCTCCCAAAGGAGTTGTGACCGCACTGTTAAGAACGGTACTGGGCCCTGTCGCCCACCCCCTCCTCTCCCAACCAGCCCTGCTCACTCAGGGGGCCAGAGCAGGGGTAGGGGAAGGAGGGTCCTCACTGCCATGTGTCCTGTCTCCCCCTCCCACCTTGAACCTCCTGGCCAGGAACTTGTTCTTCATCTCCAGGAAGTTCCCCTTGTTGGCCTCAGTTTTGAAGGGCTCATTGATGATGGTGAACTGGGCGTCATTCTGGATGTCCTGCCAGCGGGCATAGCCATGTCTGCGCCAGGCAAGGGGATGCTAAGGATCCAGCCAGGCTGCAGATGGGGACTGCTCTCCCCATCTCTCTCCCTCCCACTCCCAGATGCCCTGTCGGTGGCTCACGGCAGGGGAGCGGCTCCAGAGAACCTGTCAGATGCAGGGAAGCCATGAAAGTTGTCTCAGCAGCTTCCTGAGGTGGGCGGAGACCTGGCAGGTTGGGCAATTCATTCAAAACAAACAGATTCTGTGACAGTTCCAGGTATAAATCCTGACACTGGGGCTATGTCTAGACTGCAGGCTTCTTCAGAAAAAACTTCTTCTGAAAGAGAGCATCTACGCAGCAAAAGCGCATCAAAAAAGCAATCTTTTTTCAAAAGATAGTGTTCACACTGAATGGATGCTATCTTGCATGTAAGCTGTGATTACTATGGACAGAGTGGCCACCAGGACACCTGTGCTTTCTCCTGTTTCCTCTTCTTTCGAAAAAAGTCCCTCTCCCCTGTCCACACACACCTTTTTCCAAAAGAGCTTTCGGTAAAAGGCTTCTTTCTCACAGAAAGAGGTATACCAATGTCGGAAAAACCCCTCTGTTCTTTAGACTTTTTTTGAAAGAACTCGATTGCAGTGTGGACAGAAGGGAGTTTTTTCGGAAAAACAGCTGTTTTTCCAAAAAGCTCTGCAGTGTAGACATACCCTGGGACGTTACGCGTGTGTCTATACTACAGATTTTTTTCGAAAAAAGTGAACTTCCCCTGCATCTAGACTGCTGCTGAGTTCTTTCAAAAGTAAACTGAAAGAAAGCGGCACTTTTTTCGACAGCGGAAAACCTTGTTTTACGGGGAAAAACGCCTTTTTTCTAAAGTACTCTTTTGAAAAAAGGCGCCATGTAATGCAAACTGTGCTTTTTTGAAAGAGAGTATCCAGACTGCCTGGGTGCTCTCTTTCGAAAAAGCGGCTTGCTTTTTCGAAAGTACTGGTTGCATCTTTCGAAAAAGCCTCTTTCGAAAGAGGCTTGCAGTCTAGACGTACCCTATGTGGCATATTGTGGTTGGCAGTTCCACAGGAAAATTAGCTTTGGGGATCAGTAATATCCAGTGGCCTGGAGTTCCTCAGGAAAATGGTTTTGGGGACTGATAATTTCCAGTGCCAGGGAATTCCACAGGAAAATGTTTTTTAGGGATGGTAATAACTAGTAGCAGAAAGTGCCACGGGGAAATGTTTTTTGGGATTAATAATCTGCAGTGCTGGGGAGTTCCACATACCCTGGGACGTTACGCGTGTGTCTATACTACAGGCTTTTGGGATTGGAAGAATTGCATTCTGGGTTCAAGTAGCGACTCTGAAATTCACAGGGGAATGTGAATCAGCTGCAAGATCTCAAATTCACACTCCCCCACTCTTGCCCCCTGCCCTAGTAGGGCGCAGGCATTGCTGGGCCATGGTGAAGGATACAGCACGATGCCAGCCAACAGCCAGTAATCGTGGCGCCGATGCCAGATCTCGTTCAACTTCCCGGAGGAGATGGCCGCCCGTTCCTCGTTCTGCCACAGCGTGTGCAGTTCTGTGGGAAAAAAGGGGGGTGGACAGCAGGCAGAGTGAGCTCTGCGGGAATGCCCACGCTGCAAACCCATGGCTGACTTCACCGAGAGGAAAGGGACAGAGGGCTCAAGGTCTCCCAATGCTCTCATGGCAGTGCTGCCGGGGGGAAAGGGGCACAGAGCAGTGTCTCCCCCTCCCCTCCCACTTCCTGTCCAGATTTCTTCTGGCTGAATCAGCCACATCTCTGCTGATCAAGGTTGGGATTCTGTTGCACCGGGTGCTGTCCAGATCCCCCCAACTGAGGTTGGGGTCCCATTGTGCCAGGTGCTACTTAGAAGACCATCCCCCTCCTCTGTGAACAGACGCTTATCCCAGCCTGCTCCCAGACACAAGCCCTGGCACAAGGATGCCCGGCACAAGGGTAGCTGAGTTGGCCTCTCACCTGTGAAGCCGCCATCTGCAATGTTGAACATGAACCGGGGCTTGTCGGTCTTGTCCTCCTTTCGCCCGTTGGCCTTGCTCTCCTCTTTGATGTTGCCCACCTTGGACTCCTTGCCAGCTTCCTTCTCCACCTTCACCTCTTCTACAAGCACAAGTGAAGGGCAGCTCAAAGACACATAGGCTACGTCTACACTGGCCCCTTCTTCGGAATAGCCATGCTAATTTAGAACTTTGGAATAGGGAAATACGCGGGGGATTTAAATATCCCCCGCGGGATTTAAATAAACATGGCCGCCGCTTTTTTTCCGGCTTGGGGAAAAGCCGGAAAAGAGCGTCCAGACTGGCGCGATCCTCCGGAATAAAGCCCTATTCCGGAGGATCTCTTATTCCTACAGGAATAAGAGATCCTCCGGAATAGGGCTTTATTCCGGAGGATCGCGCCAGTCTGGACGCTCTTTTCCGGCTTTTCCCCAAGCCGGAAAAAAAGCGGCGGCCATGTTTATTTAAATTCCCCGCGCATTTCCCTATTCCAAAGTTCTAAATTAGCATGGCTATTCCGAAGAAGGGGCCAGTGTAGACACAGCCATAAGGAATGTGCAGCCATCATTAGGAGTCAGGGTTAACACTCCTGTTGCCACACATGCAGACAGACCTTAGGCCTAATCCTTGCCCCTCACACCCACTCCCCAATGGTTGGCTGTAAAAGAGTTAGTGAGGATGACTTTTTACATGGCCATCAATAGGTTTCAGAGTGAACGCTCCAAGAGCTGCACAGGGCAGAGTTCCTCCCTCTTAGCTCCAATCACTGCCCTTCATATACAATGTCAGAAGCTCTCAGGGCCCCTGGAGTCTCTTTTGGGGGAAACTACAAAGCTGCTCAGAAGGAAACTTTTCCTCATCCCTTGCCCTCCACCCCATGTTACCTTTCTTCAGTTCCAGCCCTTCCCCGTCCCCCTTCTCCTTTGGCTCATCATTGTCACCAGCTCTCTCTTCGGTCTTCTCCACCACTGGCTTTTCTTCGGCTCCTAGAAACACAGAGCACCGAGATCCATGAACCAAGTTTAGGCCAGAGTGCAGGGACAAGTTCAGAAGAGAGGCACTGGGTTAGGACCAATCTTGGCCACAATCTGCTATGGCAACTCCCAGCTACTCTCCCAGCATCAGTTTCCCCATATGTCAGATGGGTTTCCTGGTGATAAACCCGCCAATTTCTGTGCATCATGAGGTCCACAGACAGACGGCTGCCAGACTGGGACACTCTCCATTCGCCATAACCCCCCAGAGCTGCCTCTCAACTGGGGAGAGAGGGAACATAAGAACAGCCAGACTTGGTCAGACCAAAGGCCAGTGTCCTGTCTTCAAACAGTTGCCAATGCCAGGTATTCCAGAGGGAATGAACAGAGCAGAGAATCATTAAGACATCCAGCCCCTGTTGCTCAGTCCCAGCTTCGGGCAGAGGCAAGGAACACCATCCCGTCTAATAGCCACTGATGGGCCTATCCTCCTTGAATGTGTCTAGTTCTTTTTTGAACCCTGTTATAGTCCTGGCCTTCACAACATCCTCTGGGTAAGGAGTTCCACAGGTTGACTGAGTGCTGCGTGAAGAAAAACTTCCTTTTGTTTGTTTTAAACTTGTTACCTATTAATTTCACTTGGTGACCCCTTGTTCTTTGTTATGGGAACAAGTAAATAACTTTTCCTTATTCCCTCTGTCCACACCAGTCATGATTTTATAGACCTCAGCCATATCACCGCCTTAGTCTCCTCTTTTCTTAGTTCCAGTCGTCTTAATCTCTCCTCAGATGGCAGCTGCTCCAAACCCCTAATAATTTTTGTTGTCCTTTTCTGAACTTTTTCCAATGCTGGTATCTTTTTTGAGATGAGGCGACCACATCTGTACGCAGTATTCAAGATGTGGGTGTAACATGGGGATTTATATGGAGGCAGTAAGATATTCTCTGTCGTCTTCTCTATCCCCTTTTTAATGATTTCTAACATTCTGTTTGCTTTTTTGACAGCCACTGCACACTGAGTGGATGTTTTCAGAGAACTACCCACAATGACTCCAAGATCTCTCTCAAGTGCTAATAGCTAATTCAGGCCCCATCATTTAGAATGCATAGTTGGGATTATGTTTTCCAATGTGTGTTACTTTGCATTTATCAGAATGAAAATTCATTTGCCATTTTGTTGCCCAGTCATCTCGTTTTGTGAGATCATTTTGAAGCTCTTTACAGTCTGCTTTGGTTTTAACTATCTTGAGCAGTTTAGTACCATCTACAGATTTTGCCACCTCACCGTTTGCCCCTTTATGCAGATCATTTATGAATGTGTTGAATAGGACTGGTCCCAGTATGGACCCTTGCAGGACACCACAAGTTACTTCTCTCCATTCTGAAAATTGACCATTTATTCCTACAAATCCTGCAAATCATGGAGGTAGCGACCTCCACCAGCAGTGTGGTGGGTTTGGGGTCCCTTCCAAGCCCCACAGAACCAGCTAAGAGCTGAGATGTTAGCTAAGCCTCCTCCCCATAGACACTAGCCATACATCCAGCAGAAGGTCTGGCCCCACTGACTCCCAAGGAGAGATGCCCATTGACACCAGGTGGGGATTGGACCATTCCCTAATCTAGGATTTAACCCCCATATTGAGCCTGCTGCCCCTGCACAAAAAACCCGGGAATTACCCGATTTCTCCTTCTCCTCCTTGACCAAGGACTCTGCCTCTGGCTCCTTCTCCCCCAGCGCCATGGGCTCCTCTTCTTCTGCTTTCTTGCCTACCTCTGGCTCGCTCTTCTCTCCAGGGGAGGTGGTGAGCGTTGGCTGCTCCAGTGTGGGACCCTGAGCAGGAGAGGATACTAGTTGGAGGGGGAGAGCAGGGAAATCGCTCTCCACAGAGCAGTGAAGCCTCAGAGCTCTGCCACGCAGCCAGGAGCCTAGGACCTGGAGCCAAAGTATGTCTAGTCTGAGCACGCAGATGCCCGTGGTTTCCCTCCTCCAGGGCCATCATTTCGCTCCCCCTGCAGCCAAGTGACTCATTAGAGCTGTGGAACGAGGGGTGGATTATCTCCCATGGGTGGGGAAACTGAGTCTCAGAGGGAGGGCATCCCCTGGATTTTAGTATCACACAATTAGGGACATGCCCCATAGGTGAATGGTAAAAATGATGGCCAAAGTTCTTGGTGTCAGCCCAGGGGAAAACGTGCAAATCTTGAAAAGACCTGAGCCCGTTCCCCACCTGGCTCTGCCCACAGAACCTTTGCGCCAGGATGAAGGGATGGGCATGCTCAGCGGAAACGCGACCCGGAAAGCAAATATGGCTACAGAGGGTGAGGTGAGTCACAGGCTGGACTGTAGAGCATGGAGATAGGCCCAGAGCAAGGCATTGCTACCTAGGTTTAGCTCCTGACCCGTCTCAGTGACTCAGTTTCCTTGTAGATCTCTGGCTGGGCTAAGAAGGCCAAGATCTGCCCCAGCTTCCCTTGGCAGGGCCCTCTGGTCCTGGCCCCCTGGTAGTCTGCCTGACTGCTGGGGGCAGCCCAGTGTTGCCTGCCCTCCACCTCTTGGGCACTGAGCACTCACCTCTGTCTCCACCCGGTCATTGCTCTTCGGTTCTTTCTCCGTCTCCTTCCCCTCCAGCTCATCCTTCTCAGCCAGCAGCCCCATGCCATCCCCTCGCTCACTGGGGGCAGGTGTGGCTGTGAGAAGATGGGCGTCAAGTGGGCAGTGCCAGCCGCTTAGCCCCATGCATGGATGAGGGTCGGGGGCCCCCACGGCAGGGAGAGCTCCAGGAACCCATGCAGGTGAGATTCTGTGGCTTTGGGTTGGCGGGGCTGTGCCCAGGATCCAGCCCCCTGTGGGCCAGGCCTTACCTGGCTTGGAGGTGCAGGGTGTGTTGGTACAGCTGGGCTCAGGGGTGGTGGTGGAGGTCTTGATGGTGGGCGAGGAGGCACGAGACGACCTCTTGGAGTCAGCGCTGGGGTCAGGCATGAGCTCAGGCATGCTCCACCGCCCATTGATGTGCTCGAATTCCTGCACCTGCGGGGGAGCAGCAGATCATGTTCCATCAGCCCTGCCACCAGGCGGCCCCAACCCTGCGCAGCACCATTTGCCCTCCCTGGGGCTCAGGCACAAAGCTAACTGCCCCTTCGCCCTAGCCCACGAGGGTCTGATCATCGTCTAAACCAGGGGTGGGCAAAAGGGCCTCCATAGGCTGGATCCAGCCCGCCAAGCAGAGGCCCTGCCACTCCCCCGCCCCCAGGGCAATCAGGGTCTGGGGGCAGAGGAGCACGTGAAGCCCTGTGATGAGCATGTGGCACTTAGAATTGCCATGCGCTCCTGGCAGGGAGAAGACTTCGCACGCTCCTCCACCCCCAGGCCCTGAAGTCTCCTTCCAACCAGGGGCATGCACATCTAGAGGGAAGGCGGGGCGAGAGGGGGTGTATTGCCCACCCTGGTCTAGACAGTGCTTGGCCCTGCCATGAGGGCAGACCTTTCGAGGTCCCTTCCAGTTCTAATGTTGTAGGATTCTAACTGCTACACAGAGTGAAATCGGGGCCCCGCTGTGCAGGGTGCTGCCCAGACCCTCTGACAATCCCAGTGCAGTGCACAGTCAACTCCCCTCACTCAAATGAAATCGGGGGCCCTGTCAGACTCACAGTGTGAAAACAGACCCTGTCTCAGAGAGCTCAAAATTTAAACAGATAACGGGCAGGAGGGGGAAGTGAGGCATGGAGCAGGAACTAGGGGTTTGGCCCAAGGTCCGTGGCAAAGCCAGAAACAGGCCCCCCCAGTCCTGAGACATACCCAGCCCCCGCCCCCTGCATCTCCATTCTGGGATTGGTTTCAACAGACACCGACTAATACTCTTCCCAGGCTGCTTTCATCCCAGGGCTCCTCCTTGGGGGCTGCTCAGCCCGAACCCCTGATCCTCCCCTGGCAAATCAGGCTGCTCGCTGATGCTTTGCAGCTGTTAGGCTCCATCCTGCAGCCCTGGGGCCCCATACACTTCTCCCTCCATCATGCCTCTTTCTGTGACACACCTTCTTCTTCACCAGTGACATGACGCCGATGCGCGTCAGGACCTGCTGACGGGACAGCCCCTCCCTGGGCACGCCATCAGCGAAGGTCTCGGAGCCGTCTGCCCCGGGCTCACACAGGTGCCTCATGAAGAGGGAGACGTAGGCCCTGCAGGGAAAAGGGGGCGGGAGACCGGGAGCTGAGAGCCATCATAGGCAGCACTCTGGAGCCCTCTGTTGAGTGAGAACAGCCCTCCCAAGCAACTCGGCTGGAGGGGAATCCTGGCTGGTTGCTAGCAACATGTGAGGGCTAGGACACACACCAGCAGGGGGCTGTGCTGCCCTTACACATACGTACCTTGTTTAAATAACCATTATTAGGATTCAGAGTTAAACACAGTGCAGGGGATGCCCTTGGCTGGCTGGCACACAGGAGGGGGATCACTGGTGGCAGGACACCAGTCATGCTGTGCGTTTTCCCTGGCCCCAAGCGCCTGCCATCAGACCCTGCTTCTCATCCTGCCCTGCTGAGGGGCACCCCGCGGGGAGCCTGTGCAGCAGGCTGGTTTAGGAGGGCACCCACAGCTCTGGCGTGCTTCCCCGTCCTCCAGGACAGCTGCCCCCGCAAGGGGGTGATATCCGTCTGCGTGAGGGAGGGAGTACTGCCTTCCCACACCCCCTCCAGGAAAGCAGACGGGCTGGTGGCTTGGCAGGGTGCTCAGATGAGTAAGAATCGTCATCACATGGCAAAGGGGCAGTGGATTGAGGGGGCCTGCATCCCCTGACCCTACTGTGACCTACTCTAAGAGGTATAAGGACGCAGTGCCTGACGCACACTGGCTGGGGAATTGGGAGGCAAGGGCTCCCCACTCAGCCTGGCCAGCTCTCCCCAGACAAGCACCCTGTGCGCACACCTACTTAAACTCCTTCTCCGTCTTGCCCCGCAGGTCCCGGACCAGCCACTGGGAGGTGAAGGCATCCTGGGGGGGCATCCCCCAGCGCATGACGGCGTTCAGGAAGGCCTTGCGTTGCCGTGTGTTGAAGCCTAGCACCTGGCAACAAAGACAGGTGAGAGAGAGAGCCCCTCGGTTCCCTCCTCAGGCATGGCCCCCACCCCCACGAACCCCCAAGTGTCCACCAGGCCCACTGCTGAGAGATGAGGCCCTTCTTAGAACATCCAGAGCTCAACACAGCCAGGGAGAGAACCCAGGAGTCCTGGCTCCCAAACCCCTCTGCTCTAACCACTGGGATCCAATCTCTTCCCACAGCCGGGGAGAGAACCCAGGAGTCCTAGCTCCCAGCCCCCACTGTCCTCCTAGATTCTGGCAGTGTCTCACCTCAATGTTGCCCCCGACTCGGGCCAGCAGTGGAGGCAGAGGTTTGTCTTTCTCATTGCGGAGCTGGCGTTTGGACTGGCGCCGTCCTGTATGGGCAGAGGGAAATGCTGCGAAATGCCCCTGCCCGCCCGCCAACCCAGAGGCTGGAGCCCCTGCCCCAAGAACAGAGCCAGGCAATTAGCGTTGGTACGTCTGGCGCTGCTCTCCAAGTGCTGACACTGTGGACCCCACCCTGTGCTCACCCAAAACTGAGTCCCTCCATCTTCCCTCCAGGCCTAAGCCTCCTGTCACACCAGGTGTAAGACCCCCTGGAGCTGGTGGTCAAAATATAATTCCGACGCTGGGCCCGGAGCTTCCCGCCTGGGCCAGCCACCTTCAAGGGGCACCAGTCTGGGTCACATTCAGAGACTGCATGGAGACCGAACCCAGGAGCAGTAGCTAAGGGTGTAAAATGTTAATCAGCTAGCCGGTTACCCAGTAAACATTACCCTTAATGGCATGCTTACCTGGTAACTGGTTAACTAGAGGGCCAGGCAAGGGGAGCAGTTCCCTGCCCGTGGTGCTGCTGGAGCCCATACGGCCAGAGCAGTCCCATGCCCATGGCAGGCTGCCCAGACTCCAACCACAGGGTTAACTGGTTAAATTATTACAATTATATCGCTTAACCTGTTAAACTTTTACATCCCTAACAGCTGCTGAGCTGGCCACGTGGGCCCTTAGTGGTGTTTCCTGGCATTTATGCAGCCACTCAGCTGATTCAGAGAGTGCCCACAGCTAGGATTGTGTTTCATTCACACAAGCCTCGGTGCACATAACAATTATTCTGCACCATGGATGGAAAAGGTTTAGGGGGAACTTTTTGAAGGGAAAAAAATAATCCCCAGAAACAAAGATCTTCACTCCTTCAATAGTTCTGGAAATTTGACATCCCTACTTGGGGCTTAAACGACTTGGCCCTTGGAAAGGGTCTGTCTTCCCTCGTGGACAAAGAGCTGATCTACCTCCAAATGCCATCCCTCACCTTCCGGCCTCTGATTGTCTGAAACATCATCAGGCTGCTTAGTAATCACAACTGTCACTTTTTAAAGGGTCTCTCCCGTTAGCTCCCCAGTCCTGCCCAGAGCAAGTGGGGGGAAGCAGGGAGTCCCAGAACAGATTCCTCCATCTGAACCCCATGCTGTCTTGTTCCACACTGGAGACTGGATGTGAAACTAGATATACTGACACTTAATTCCTGTCTGTCCCAAAACTGAAATTCAGAAATTTCCCACAGGGCAGGAATTCGGGAATATTTTGTTTAGGAAACATCAAAATGACCCTCCTGATGTAACAGTGAAACATTCGAAAGAATACACAGATATCGATCCATGCTAAACATTATGCATCAACATACCAAATAAGAATAATATAAATACTACTAAGAGTTGCATATTGAATTTATAAAGTATTCTGCATAATATACTAACAACTATGTGCAATCCTTTATGTTAAATGTAAAATGCTGTAGAAAATATATTTCTGTAGAAATAATGCTGTAGAACTTATATTTATATATTGGTTATTTTTAAAGTGCTCTAGATAATATAAACTGTTAAATATAAAAAGTATAATGTTTTATGTATTTTCTTTTTTATTTTACTATAGCACTTTTACTCATGAATAAAATATCAACAATTAAACAAAGAATTACACAGAAGCTCTGCGCTGGCTCTTCCAGGTTGTAATCTCCTCGCCGCAGGCGAGTAGATTACATTATTTGTGGAGCTCTGGTTGTATATATCTAGTATATATTTGAAAGGTCTGTGAGAGTGTGTCTGTCTGTTCATTTGTTCAAGAACTCCTCCTAAACGGTAAGAACTAGGGCCATCAAAGACAGTTTGCAGCTTCCTCTTATTATAACTTAAAGCAAGGTCAGGCTTTGGTTGTGTGTGTGCCTGGAATGGGATTGCTTCTCATAAAACCACACAGAAATGATACAGAATTCCCAGGCATGTGAAAGGGGCTGGCTGAAGGCACTCCCCACCATCTGGGACTGCCCCAGCACTGAGCCTCCCACCGAGGTGCCCTTTAGAGAGGGCAGAGGAGCTGAAGTGTCCCCCTCCAAATTCATATGGGAACGTTGCAGGCTGTTCTCCTAGGGAAAGTGCACACTTTGCTGCATTCCTCACTCTGGCTGCGGAGTGCAGGGAGCAGACAAACCTGGATTTGCCCTAGCCGGGGGGATATGCCCCCAGGCTGTGCCTACTGGAGCTGCAGCGGCCATGGAGATGTGCTTTTCACCTGGCCCCAAACTGCTGCAGCGAGAAAGACTGGGGTAGTCCTCCCTCCCCGTCTGCATACTGAACCCCTCATCCCCAGCTCCATCATTTTAGTTTCCAACAAACATTAAGGACTCGAGCAATGACGGGTATGAAAATTAAAAGTTCAAGTTTTTAAAACTTAAAAGGAGCTATAAAGAGGGAATGATGCTCAGCGAGAAAGTCAAAATGACACAAACCAAGACCCCCCGTGGTGATAGGAAGTATTCTGACATTTTCTCATTGAAATAGACATGATCCCACAACCCATTTTGGTTTTGACAAGGCAGCATTTTTCCGACGGAACACAGCTGTGGGGATCATTTTCTAATTTATTCTGATTAGACACATGAACAGTGAAAGCCATGAACTGATACTCTTGGAAGGGCCAATCTGATGATTGGATCTGACCTTCAGTGTAGAGCAGGCCAGTTTCACCCAGGAAATCGCTGCACCTGGCCCATGTACTGTGGGGGAGCTAGAGTGGATCTTACAGAAAGACAGATCCACCACTTGGTGGGCAGGCTGTGCCTGTTTGCGGTGAGGAACCTGCACCCCCTCCAGTCTGAAGGCATCTGCCTTCGACCCATAGTCACTCAATTTAATGTGCACTGTCCTGGAAATCCCAGCCCTGTGGAGATTACATCACTTCTTCACCAACAGATTTCCATTTGAGGGATGGTCACCCAAAATGGGAAACAGACCCGCTTCTGGTTACTCATCCCATAGCTCTCAAGGATTATGGGGAAACAGAGGGTTGGGGTTGGGAGCTCAGCCAGTGCTGGAAGAGCCAGAAGCAGAACCTGGGCTGTCCCTGCCTAATGCTGCACACACTAGGACACAATACACCCAGCACCTGTTCTCCTGTCAGTCCCAGAAGACAGAGCACACTAAAATTCCTGAGCTAAGATTGAGGGTGTAAAAGAACTGCATTGTCACAGAACTGGGCACTGCCCCCTCTGATCCCCAATTGCACCATACGCTCGATTTACTCACCCTGTAAATGCCCCATTTTCTCCCCTACTCAGCTCAATGTCACTGAGTAGGAATAACCACCCCACAGCTCATGAAATTCCCCCTTGGAGCCACGGGATATACGAGCAGCTCCAACTGGCTCTATCCTCCCTCACTCCCGACCCACAGCCCCTGCTAGCCTGGCTCTGAGTTCCCCCAACCCCTCACTCCTGTCCCACAGCCCCTGCCAGCCCAGCCCTGCCCAGGGCACCGCAGGCACCAATCAATGAGTGCTGACCTTGGTCCTCCTGTGCAGCATCATTGTAGTTGACCTGTTTCCGTACCCGTTTCCCCTTCCCCAGGTTCCTGGCCAGGTCCTCCTGCTGCTGCTCATAGTGATGCCTCAGCAGCTTCTCCCAGTAGTCAGGGTCCACGTTCTCCTCCTGCTTAATGATCTCCCGCTCGATCTCCTCAATCTGCCAACACAGGCCACGGCCAGTGGTGAGTGGGGGGATGGAGCAGTCCCCACAGCAGCTCCAGTCCTGGGCTCTCCCCACTCTCCACCCGATGGTGCCCATCACTCCCGACCCGCAGCCCCTGCCTGCCCAGCCCTAGTCTCCCCCAGCCCTGCTAAAAACCCTCCTTCCCAACCCACTCTCACCTTGTCCTCCTCCCGCACTACATACTGGGCCACCTTGAAGGAGCTCAGATACTCGTTCATGTTCTGCACATCAGCATCATCGGTGGCATCCTGGTTGCGATCCAGCAGCCGGGCGATGGCCTCGTTGTCATAGTGGATCACGCTGCTATCCTCCTCCTTGTTCTCCCCTGGGGGAGGGGATCACACCCATGTCAGGGGGCAGAGGAGGGGGCTCTGGCGCTGGGCAGTGCCCTTCAGTCCTGATCCACAGCCTCTCATGGAGCCCGGAAGGGGTGAGTGGGGAGAGAACAGGGGCTGGGGGCTCCCCTCCCTTTCCAAGACCTCTCCCTCCATAGCCCAGGCACCTCTCCCCAGCTCCAAGCCCCGCCTCCCCTAATACTACAGGCTCTGCCCCAGCCTGGCCTTGCCCCAATTCCAGTCAGCACCCCGTTGGCCCCTCCTACCTTCCTGCCAAGCCCCACCCTCCAGCCGTCCCTCACCCTCATTCTCATCCTTGAAGAGCTCCTCGGTGCCAAACTTGAGGATGTCATCCAGCTCCTGCTTGGACATGCTGCCAGCCTTAGAGCCCAGCCCGGGGCGCACCACCAGGTGCGTCAGCATCATCTTCCGCTTGGCTACCTGCGTGATGCGCTCCTCCACTGAGGCCCTTGTGACGAACCGGTAGATCATCACCTTGTTGGCCTGGCCAATGCGGTGAGCCCTGCTGAAGGCCTGCGCGGCCACGTAGAGGAGAACGGGTGAGAAACAGAGGTGCTGGTCTACCCATCCGCCTCTCCACCTGCCCCCTTGTCTGCCCAGCCATCTGTCTGATCCACCCGCCCAGGGACACCGATCTGTCCCTCCATCGGCCCAACCTATCCTCCTGTCTCCTCATGCATCCAACTGACTCTCCCAGGGGCACTTGTCTGTCCCTCTGTCCCACCCATCCAGGGACACCAGGCCAGCCATCCTTCCCTCCAACCCATCCCCTCCAGTGACCCGGCTTCACCCAGCCCATCTCAGAGGCAAAGATCTACCTGCCTAGTCCTCCAGGACAGCTCTATCCATCCATCCATCTACCTGAGACGCAGAGTCCCCTACAGATCTATCTATTCCCACATCCCCCTCTGTCTCTCTATCCATCCATCCCCACGCCCCTCTCTGTCTCTCTATCCATCCATCCCCACCCCCTCTCTATCTGATAGCAGCCTTCAACTTCCTGAAGGGAGGTTCCAAAGAGAATGGAGAAAGGCTGTTCACAGTAGTGACAGATGGCAAAACAAGGAGCAATGGTCTCAAGTTGTGGTGGGAAAGGTCCAGGTTGGATATTAGGAAGCACTGGAATGAGTTACCTAGGGAAGTAGTGGAGTCTCCATCCCTAGAGGTGTTTAAGTCTCGGCTTGACAAAGCCCTGGCTAGGTTGATTTAGTTGGGATTCATCCTGCCTCTAGTCAGGGGGCTGGACTTGAGGTCTCTTCCAGCTCTGTGGTTCTATTCTATGATTCTATCCCTCCATCCATCCCCACACCTCTCTCTATCCATCCATCCCCATACCCCTCTCTATCTCTCTTCCCAGCCACCCACCCCTCCCTGGGAGAATCAGCCAAGTTCCTCCTGGATTTTCTGGTAGAGCAGGGCTTTGGTATCTCCCCAAGAGAAAGGCCAGAGACCCACAACTTGGGGTAAAGAGGCACAGCTCCATGGACAGTCAGGGTACGTCTACACTTGCTCCCTAGTTCGAGCTAGGGATGCAAATGTAGGTGACTGAAATTGCTAATGAAGCGAGGATTTAAATATCCCGCGCTTCATTAGCATGATCTCGCCGGTGTGTTACTCCGCTCAACAGCTGTTTCAAAAATGAAAGTGTACGCCGGGATGTGTTAGTTCGTCATTTTTTGAGGAGTAACGTTAGTTCGAACCAAGGGGTTCGAACTAACGCGTCCCGGCACGCCTTTTCACTTTCAAAACAGCTGTTGAGCGGAGTAACACACCGGCGAGATCATGCTAATGAAGCGCGGGATATTTAAATCCTCGCTTCATTAGCAATTTCAGTCACCTACATTTGCATCCCTAGCTCGAACTAGGGAGCAAATGTAGACGTACCCTCAGAGAGTTACTCTGATTTAGGCCAGCCAAGGATCTGGCCTGGACTCCTTTGGTTCTTGGCTGACCCTGGGAAGGGAACACCCCACCTCTCCCCAGCTGCTGCCCAGCGGGGTAGAGCCACAGGAGGACTTACCTGAATGTCGTTGTGGGGGTTCCAGTCTGAATCAAAGATGATCACCGTGTCTGCAGTGGCCAGGTTGATGCCCAGGCCTCCTGCTCGGGTCGAAAGCAGGAAGCAAAACTGCTGGGCCCCAGGAGCTGGGAGAGAGACCACAGGGTCATGTGGGGCATTCAGGGAAGTCCAGAGCTGCCCTGCACATGGCCTGCCAGGTCCCTGCCCCTGAGCATGGCCATCCTTAGGATGGAGCCCTACGCAGTACTGTTAAACTGGTGCCCCTATGCCCAATGGCATCTGGGGGAGAAGGGGATGACAATTTTTTAGAAATGTGATTTTATGATCTTCAGCAACACACCAATGAAATACTTTTAAAACAAATTTTAAACTCAGGTCCTGTCAGCTGACACAGTAAATTCAGAAACTGACAGATACTTCTGGGGTTGGGCAAATGCCTGAGAAATGGCTTCACTCTCACTGGAATGGCTCTTTCGCGGGTTCTGCTCATAGCTCCGGCCGGCTCTGTCACTTCTACGTTGACTAGACCCTCCCTAGAGGAGGCAGAGCCACGGAACGGGGTAGGAGGAGGCAGGTGGGTGCACATTATGACTCAGTGATGCCCTACATTTCTGGGTGACCTACACAGCTGCATATTCCGCATATGGGTGAGGATGGCTCTGACCTCTGAGTCTCAAATTCCCTCCTGAGGGTGCACCCTGCAGTCCCTGCTGTCTCTGGCAGGCTCCCATCCATTCATCACTTGCCTGCCCACCACCACGGTCTTCAGGCACTACCAAGAACCCCTCCAAACCTGCTTTCTCATGTCTGTTACTCAGGAGTAGAGCTCCCAGGAGCAGGGGCTGTCTGCCTCTAGGCATCAGTGCAGCACCTGGCTCCATCTTGATCAAGGGATCTGGGTAGCAGGAGTCGTACCATTGAATCTGTCAATGGCCTCTTGCCGCAAGGTCCCAGTGATCCCACCGTCAATCCGCTCGTACTTGTAGCCTTCGTAGTCCAGGAAATCCTCCAGCAGGTCCAGCATTTTAGTCATCTATGTATGCAGGAGAGAAATGGCTTCAATACTGCACTCTCTAAACAGGGCTCCTTTGGCTGGCGCGGAGATGCAGCCACCTTTAATGACCCCAAGGTGTTTGGGCATCAGAGAAAAGATACAATCAATGCACATGTCACCCTTATGAGGCTCTGAACTGACACACTGCCTGGTCTAGACACACGCGCACACACACATCTGCCAACCTCTGCCCCACCCCCTCACCTGAGAGAAAATCAGCACCCGGTGGCCTTGCTCCTTCAGTTTCCGCAGCATCTTCTGTAACAGCATGAGCTTCCCGGAGGATTTGATGAGGGCACCGCCCTCGTAGGCACCACTGGGCAGCTTGGGAGATTCCTGATGGGGCAAAGTGGCAGCTGATCAGCTCCAAACTCCCCACCTCCCTGGCCATCCTGCACACCACAATGTGCCCCAAGTGGGAACCAGGCTGGTTCCTAGTGCTGCTAAGGGGAGGTCTTAGGGCTCCCAGCTGATTCCAGCTGTAGGGTGGGTAATGGGACAGAGACTTGGCAGAGCCTGGCTCCCACGGAGCAAAATTTTCCAGTGAAACTGCCACGGCAAAAAGCTATAGCTCGTCTCACTTTCAGATTAATTTTACCCCCCCGCCATGCAGGGCAGGAGACTTGCCCTACCCCAGTGACTTCGGCCCCAAACAGACACACAATCGGCTGCTTTACCACAAGATCTGTCTGGTTCAACCAGAGATTAATTCAGAATAGTTACCCAGTATACGCAGCTAAATAATTACAGTAGAGTGGAGAAAAATGGTCTCTTAAAATCAGACCACCCTGCCTTGGAAGCATACAATATGCGCTAACTCCTCACACTAATCTCCTGTGATTCTCCACGTTTCCCAACCCCAGGAAAAAACACATACAACTTGTCTCCGTCACCTGCCAAAGCTGCTCAGATAAAACATATTCTCCCCTCATGTCTGTTTTTAAATAAAATTCATTCATTTTTTCCCTCCCACTAATTTTTCTATCATTCAATACACACTTGAAATCAAAACGCCATTTAAAAGGTAAAATCCTTATGGAATTTAACAAGTTTCCATTTTTATGTTTCTTTAAAAGATTTTTTACGGGCCGAAATCAGCACAAAATCAAGAAATGTGTTTTGTGAGACTAAATCTGTATATAAAGCTTCACGCAACTCCATTAAGCCCGCCTCCTGGATCCAGGCCCCTCCCCTTCATGATAAACCAAGGTCTGTCCCCCCAATCCTCCAGGCAGCAGGACATGTCACAGTGCCCTCTCATCAAGGTTTCCCCATGCCCCTGGAGTGGGTGGGACGTACCATAGCAGCCACGGGGAAGAGGTAGGGGTGGTTACAGCACTTCTTGAGATCCATCATGATATTGAGCAGGGAGACCTGGTTGCCACCGCCCCGGGAGTTCAGGGCTTCAAAGTTGCGGGTCAGGATGTATTTGTAGTATTTCCTGAACAGGCAACAGGAGAGAGGATAAGGCCTGGCTCCCAGCGTGTCCTCCCCCGCCACAGCTTTGACCACTAGACTCCCGCTGCCCTCCCACAGCTGGGGAGAGACCCAGGCATCCTGGCTCCCTGCCTGCCCTGCTGTAACCATCATCCCCCACTCTCATCCCAGGACCAAGAAGAGAACCCAGACATCCTGGCTTCCAGCCCCACACACCCACCCTGCTCAAATCAGACACCTATGCACAGCGCCAGGCACAGAACAATTCTCCTGCATCACATCTCATGTCTGCCACTAAGCCCCCCACTCCCTGCCCCACAGCTCCCCCTAGCACAGGGGTTCCCAACCTTTTTCGGTCCCCGTACCCCCATGGCTTTTAGTAAACCTTCCCATACCCCCTATTCAATATGAAAGGAAATAAATTCTAGACTCTAGAATCCACAACGTTTTTCCCCTAACACTACTACTTTTGGAATATTTCAATTAGGATAATCTAGTTATTTACCAAATATTCCCCGTACCCCCTTGACAATCTTCTCGTACCCCCTGGGGGTACACGTACCCCAGGTTGGGAACCCCTGCCCTAGCACCACTGCAGGGCAGTGACCTATCAGCCAGTCTGTCCCCCCCACTCCCTCCGCATCCTCCCCCGGGCCACAGGCCATACTTCTGCATGGGGCTCAGCTCGACGCGCACAATCAGCTCCGTCTTGGCAGGCATGTTCTTGAAGACATCAGCCTTAAGGCGCCGCAGCATGTGAGGGCCCAGCAGGTCATGCAGCTTCTTGATCTGGTCTTCCTTGGAGATGTCAGCAAATTCCTCCAGGAAGCCTTCCAGGTTACTGCAGGGACAGACAGATGGACAGACAGAGTGGGGCCAGGTTAGTCTTGGCTCCCGGCCCCCACAGCACTGCCATCCCTCCTTGTCAGGCCCAGCAGGCAGCACTGTATCCTAAATGAGGGATAGGCACCTCCCTTGAGCCCATCCTGCTCCCTGCCCCACGACACTCCCTAATGCCACCCTGGGACAAGCCCCACTTGCCAGCGGAGAGTGTGGACTACCCACCCTACTCCCTGTCCCATAGCACCTCCTTGGAGCCAGCCCTGCCTGCCAGGGGACAACGCCCCCTGCTGAGCTCCCTGCCCCACAGCGCCCCCCTGGACCCAGCCTTGCCAGGGGAGAGTGCCCCCTACTGAGCCCCCACCCTGCATCCTGCCCCACAGCACCCCCAGTGCCGCCTTGGGGCCAGCCCTGCCTGCCAGGGGACAGAGGCCACTGCTGAGTTCCCTGCCCCGCACAGCAACCCCTAGTGCCGCTCTGGCGCGTGGCACCTGCAGTGCCAGTCCCCCCCCAAAACCTCTCCCTCCGTGTCCCTGGCCCATCCCACTTTGCTAGGGAGACCAGATGGGATCCAACTGGCGCAACCTTAGAAGACTAGAGCACCACCCGTGCCTGAGGGCAGCAAAGGCACTGGGCACAGTTGGGCTGGGATACACTATGGCACCATGAGGGAGCAGAGCTGTGGCTACTGGGAGGTTAAGCCAGTCAGGATACCATGGGGGCTAGGGAGACAGGGACGGTCCCCACCCCCAGAAGAAGGAGCTGGAAGAGCAGAAGAACAGGGGTCAAACACCCCACAAAGGTGAATACAGCACGTGGGCTGGACCTGGGGCCCCTCATCTCCATGCTTGGGACACTGTCCCCTGCCTTGTAACCCTAGGAGCCTCAGGACGCGACCGTCGCATGCCCTGCAACAACCAAGCTAACCAGTATGTGGGGATGGCCAGGCAGGGTGGGGGCAAATCAGGGGGGTCTTCTTGCAGTGCAGGCTACAGGGTCTAGGTATCAGGGAGGGGGACGGAGCAAAATTCCCAACGCCAGGCTGCATCCCCTTCAGGGCTCCAAGGGGTCAGGGCAGGGACTCCCAGTGCCAGACTGTGTCCCAGCTTCCCTCAAGTCTTCTCGAGGTTCAGACAGGGGGTCTCCTAGGGCCAGGCCTCATCCCAACTCACCTTAAGGAATCCAGGGGTCAGATGGGGGAGGTCTCCCAGTGTCAGGTTGTGTCCTGGCTCCCCTTGGGGGCCCTAGGGGGTCAGACGGTGGGGGGGTCTCCCAGCACCAGGCTGCACCCAGCTCCCCTCATTACCCCAGGGGGTCAGGATGGGGGTCTCACGAGGGGCACGGGGGCTGACTCACTTGAAGCGCTCGGGCGTGAGGAAGTTGAGCAGGTGGAACAGCTCCTCTAGGTTATTCTGCAGTGGTGTCCCCGTCAACAGCAGTTTGTGGTCGATCTTGTAACCGTTCAGCACCCTGAAGAACTGGGAGGGACACAGAGGTGGGGGGAGTGTTAGGGGCTTCTGGGGCCCCCAGACAACAGTGAGGCAAGCACAAGGATGGCCTGCGGGGAGCTCAGAGATCCTGCACAGAAGAGTGCTGAACCCACCAGTCCCCACTCCCCTCCCATAGTTGTGGAGAGAACTCAGGAGTCCTGGCTCCCATCCCCCCTGCTCTAACCACTAGCCCCCCAGGTGCATACCTTGGACTGGTTGTTCTTCAGCCGGTGTGCCTCGTCCACCACCAGGCAGGCCCAGCGGATAGAGCCCAGCGCCGCCTGGTCTATGGTGACCAGCTCGTAGGAGGTGAGCAGCACATGGAATTTCACCTGAGCTTCCCTCTGCAGGGAAATGACGGGCCAGATGAGCCGACAGAGAGGCAGACAGGCTGGGTGGACTGGGGCTGGGATGCTCTGCTTCCCACGGCTTCCACTGCCACAAGTGAGTGCGGGGGTGGGCCCAACCTCTGCCGCAGATGCCAGGCCCCCTGGTAGCCCCTAGGCTGCCTTGGGCCTTGTGGGTCCCCCAAAGCGCAGGGCCCAGGATGGCTGCCTTAAACTGTCCAACAGACAGGGTGGCTTTGTCAGCCGGGGATGGGCCACGTGCAGGCTGGTACACAAACGTAGCCAGGTTTGCCTGTGCGCGCGTGTTCGCCTGGCAGCTAACAAGCCAGCATTCCCTGAGCCATGGGCCAGCAGGGCGCCCTTCAGCAATTCCCACTCCATTCAGACCCTGCCCATCCACCACACGTCACTAGTGACCCTGCAGGAATGGAGCCAACTCCCATCCCAGACCTGGGGAGAGAACCCAGGAATCCTGGTTCCAGGTCTCCCCTGCTCTAACCACCAGCCCCTACTCCCCTTCCCGAGCTGGGGAGAGAACTCAGGAATCCTGGCTCCCAGCCTTCCCTGCTCTAATCACTAGCCCCCACTTCCCTTCCTGAGCTGGGGAGAGAACCCAGGAGTCCTGACTACCCTGCCCAATAAGACTATCCAGGCAGATACGACTGGAGGAGCAGGGGGGTCTTGCCTTCATCTTGAAGGCCTTCTTGCCCCCCTTCATGGCGTTGTCCTCGAAGGAGAACTCGTTCTCGCGGATGATGGAGCGGCTGTCCTTGTCACCCGTGTAGGTCACCACGTAGAACTTGGGTGCCCACATCTGGAACTCCCGCTCCCAGTTAATGATGGTGGAGAGGGGGGCGCTGACCAGGAAGGGGCCTTTGGTGTGACCCTGGGCAGAGACAGACACCCAGGCATCAGGAGATGGAAACAAGGGTGACTGGTTATGCAGGGACTGCTCGCCCAGAGCTGAGACACAGCCACCTCTGCGGCAGGGTGGCTGGGAGCCCAGCGGGTT